GATGGCAAGGACCTCCTCGGCCGGCCGAGGAGCCTGCTCGATGAGGCCATGCTTCTCGGTATAATCGAGGATGATGCCGACCGGGTGAGTGAGGGCAACCCCCGGCCGTTCCAACCTCGGCCGCCAGTGGCGATCTTTCTTACTCTGCCCACCAGAGCCGTGACGGCCCTGGGCACCCTGGCCGGCCGAGGACGGACCCGGGGCCGGCGAAGGATTTGTCTTCTTGGAGGGATGGCCCCCCTCTTTCTTGTGATTGTGGAGCTCGTCGGCGTCGGCGTACAAGCCTCCGCGCTGGAGCGCCTTGGCGTACGACCTCGGAGGGTCGGTGATGAGGCTCCTAGCGTACGGGGAGCTGCGGAGGGCTCCCTAGTATAGGGCGAGGAGGGTGCGCTCATCGGCCCCCTCGACTTCTTCGGTCTCCCTCTTCCACCGGTCAATGAATGACCGGAGGGACTCATCATGCTGCTGCTTGACGGAGAGGAGGTGGGTGAAATACTTCTTCGCACGCTTCCTCCCGGCAAAGTGGGTGAGGAAGCGTTGGGCAAGATCCTGCCATGAGTCGATGCTCCCTTCGGGAAGCGCGTTGAACCACTCGTACGTCGGCCCCTCGAGAGTAGAGAGGAACCAACGGCAGAGGTATTCGTCTGACGCGTTCACCATCAACATGTTGTTCTGATAACGGCCGAAGTGTTCCTGGGGGTCTGATCGGCCGTCGTAGGACTTGATGGCGTTTCCCCTGTACTTCTCCGGGATGGGGGCCGAGAGGACCCTGTTGGTGAAAGGGGTCCTGGTCCTGACTTGGATGATGGGGTCACCTCGCCCCTCGGCCAACTCCCTCTCCAGGGCGCTGACTTTGTTCATGAGCGCGTTGAGGTCGGGGTCGTTGGAGGCGCCGGCCGTAGGGATGTTGACCGACTGCTTGGCCTCCATCTGAGCCAGCCTCCTTTCCAGCTGAGCGATGACCTCGTCTTGGGGGTCCCTAGCGGCCGCAGCGGCGGCCGGCTGGTTCCTCATGCGCTCGTCGTGAGCCGCATTGATCTGGTGGCGCACGTCGTCCTCGTGCAACTTCCCCTTGCCCTTGTCCGGGCGGGGCTGGTCCGCTGTCCGGGACACAGACCCCAAGCTTTCCCTCGGCGAGCCAGGCCGACGCTCACCAATCCGTCCTGCCATCCTCTCCGAAACCGGACGACGGCGCGTGTCACCTAGCCTATTGAAGGCAGAGGCTTTTCCACGCGCTGGGGTCTGCCCAGGCCGAAGAGGGGAAGCGGGGTGGGAGTGGGACGACGCCGTGTCCTGGGCCATCACCCCCTCATCGTTGCCTATATGGACGGCCAACGGTCGGGGCTGAGGAGGTGGAGTGACGTTCCCCCCGGTCCTTGGCAAGAGTGCGCTGAGGACGGTGGGGTTCTGGGCCAGGCTGGCGATGATGACCGATAGCGCGGCCTGGACCTGTGGATCCACGGACGGAGAGGCCGCGGCCATAGGCTGGGCCGGGGCATGGTCCGTCTTCTCAGCTCGTTTCTTGTCCAAGCCGAGGCGGGCATCAGGGGCTCCGCCGTTGAGTTGGTTGCGGAGGTCCGTCGTGAGGTTGAAGGCCTCCTGGAAGACGTCCCCTCCGCCGACCTGGTCGGCCGTGGCATCCTCCTCGTGCTCCCTGGCCTCTTGGTCCTCAGGGATGGCCTTGCTGACGAGGTTGCGGTTTGATTTAGTTCTCCCCATGATTAGTGGTTAGCTGTGCTTGGTAGCGACGAAGGGTGCTAACTTGATTGTTCTAGCTCTCAATGAGAGCACCAAATGATAGAGTATATCTAGAGAGAAGTGAGAGCTAGAGAGAGAAGTGCAGTAATATGCTTCAATAGAATGAATTTGTAACCCATATAACTACTCCCAAGGGGAGTATTTATAGAGAAAATACGGACTGGGCTCCCAAGCCTTGGGCTTGGGAGGCCCATTTACAACTGGACCGCTACTGGGCCAAATACAAAGCCACTAATGGGCTGTACAAATGAGTAAGTGTAAAATCCGGTTCTGTGAGGTCTTCGTGGCCGACGAGGGCGCGGCCGACGAGGGCACGGCCGACGAGGGAGCGGCCGACGAGGGCACCCGGGTTCCTTGGCTTCAGGACCATATTCTGAGTTGGTACCTTTCCGGCCGACGGGGGTCCCTTGGCCGACGAGGGCACCACTCAGTGTCTTGTGCTTTCTGTTCTTCTGAGTATGTGGGTCCGGGGGCTCAGACCCATATACTCCATCAATACATTACACCTCAACTTGTCATCCATGGATGTAGCATCATTCCAGACAAGGTCCGCGCGATGCGCGTAACGTGGCATCACCAGCACAGACCGATCAATCGGGTCCATAAGTGGTATTTGTGCAGCCATTCGTATCTCAACTGACAATAAGAATCATATATTAGTGTTATACTCCCTCCGTCCCTTATAACTTTGCCAACTTTCCTTTTTCGGTTGTCCCAAAAACTTTGCCACTTTCCCTTTTAATGAATCAATTTGTGGCTCCAGTTATTTCTCTCTCCTCTTCACAAATCTCTACCACACAGTTTTTACTTTATTATTCTACGTGCCGGTCAAACTTGGCAATCCTTTTAGGGACGGAGGGAGTATATGTGTGTGTATGTATATTATAATGACGTGTTTTATTAAATGAAATTATAAATTACACATAAACTTTCAATGAAACTATATCAGTCTTATGTATTACATTATAATATATGTACGGTTGATATTGGGCTTATCCACTGAACAATATTACCACCGTGCCAGAAACTAGAAAAGTACTAGTTCTAGACGAGTTTGTGAAAATTGTACCAGTATAGTGCAATTATATTTTATGTTCCCATACAAATTTTAGACTTGCCACTGAGTAATATTCTCACTGTGCCAGAAACTAGAAAAGGACTAGTTCTAGACATAACGTTTGCCAGAAACCAGAAAAGGACTAGTTCTAGACGAGCTTGTGAAAATCGTACCAGTATAGTGCAATTATATTATATGTACCGATACAAATTTTAGACTTGTCACTCAGTAATATTCTCACCGTGCCAAAAACTAGAAAAGGACTAGTTCTAGACATAACATTTGGCAGAAACTAGAAAAGGATTAGTTCTAGACGAGCTTGTGAAAATCGTACCAGTATAGTGCAGTTATATTATATGTACCGATACAAATTTTAGACTTGTCATTGAGTAATATTCTCACTATGCCAGAAACTAGAAAAGGACTAGTTCTAGACTTAACATTTGCCAGAAACTAGAAAAGGACTAGTTCTAGACATAACATTTGCCAGAAACTAGAAAAGGACTAGTTCTAGATGACCTTGTGAAAATTTTACCAGTATAGTGCAATTATAATTTATGTTTGCTTTTATGACCAAATTATAATACATGTGACGAACTAAATTATATTATAGTGTTATTTGGGAATAAATAATGATGACTAAATTAAAATGTTCAACTCACTAAACTAAATTTAAATTTGTAATAGCAACGTACGTAGTCTCAAATTACCATATACACTAATTTATTATTTAATACATTAGCAATTAAGATTAATTACATATTAATACTAAGGTCTTCTAAATATTCAGACTGACATAACAAAATTAGTACAAAAAATTAATGATAAAGAATAAAGATATAATTAAGTTTCTAACCTTTATTTCAAAAACTTGGAGAATAGAATTAGCAAGAACACTCAATAATTTTTTCTAAATGAATTTGTTTTTAGGATAAGATGATGAATATGATGTTGAAGGGATTTAAATAGGTTAACATTTGGGTTGGGAGTATGAATTTTCGTGCAAGTAATGGACGCTTGGGATGAGTTTGGTACTATCATGCGGCTGAAGTATATGGGATGAAGAAGCACAATCCGCATCATCTTGTGCTGGCCAATCAGGAAGCTTCAATTTTCGGATTCCTCTAATCCGAATTTCTTGCCCCTGACAATATGCCTGCACCACACCTGACACCACAATTCCTTTAATTGGAATTATCTTGCTGCTCCTGACAATCACGATGGAAACTTGGACTCAAAAAAATAAAACCCAATTTCAGATTAGAGGAATCCAAGTTTTTAGGTTCTCCCTCGGTCCCGCTAAAATTGCTCCACTTTTTCTTTTCGGTTCGTCTCACTAAGATTGTGTCGTATCAAATTTGATAAATTTTGTGTGGTTATAAATCATTATTACGTTATTCTTACTTTATCAATTCAATATCAATCATATAAAGTCACTTTTCTTAATAACTGTATCGCCTCCTCATGTCCCGATAATATTGATATTGGTGGGACAGAGGTAGTATGTTTTTTAATATAGGAGATTTAAGTGATTAATTGGAAATAGTAGAAGAAACTATTTGACTTTTTCCCATTCTTATTCAAAAAAATTGTTCATTACGTACCAATACACTCCGTAATAGGATGTTATTTCAAACAGATTATTACTCCATTCTAGATATACCCCGTGCATCGCACGGGTAATTTGTCTAGTTAATTAATAAACGGATGAATGATGTCATGTGCACCTAAGTTTGGTGTGGACAACCATATAATACAACATCCATCTCTATAGAATTTAATTTACGGAGGTCATCTAAGGGTAAAATTATAACTATGAATATGTATTTATTATTAATTGCATGATTAGTGAGTTACATATTTTCACTTCACAAAAATATGGAAAGTTCAATGCACAATTAATAGTGCCTACAAAATAAAACTCTAGCAGAAAAACAGAAAAACTCTACCAATTAATAGTGCCTACCAATGCACTGTATATATAAAATCTAACCATATTATAAGAGGGAATGGTGGTAGGGGTCTACCGGTCATAAAAAAAATGTTGGTGGCACAACATGTATAATGTGGTTGTACTTTATATTTATTTTGTTGTACTGTGGTGATATATCCCAGCATCGCTTACTAACGGAGGGTTCAATGTGCCCCGTATATTTACGGAGGAAATTTAAGGAGGAAATAAAGCATCGAACAACCGTTCAGCTCCCAGTGTACGAGTATTTTCTCTCATTTCTGCGCATCAAACGAAAACCCCTCAGCTCCCCTCTTCCGTTTCAGCCTCTACGCATTCAAGCCTCCATAGTAATGGCGTCTGGAGATCCGTTTACTTCTTCAAAGGTCGGCTTATGGCTTATAAATAATCTGACCCGGCTGTCGAGCAGATTTTCGAATTCTCTGTTGTTCTACTACTCCGGTAAGTTTTTCCTTTATTCAAGCCATTTACGTTGTTCTTCGTATCTGTGCTCATGCCTGCGCCTTCAACTACTAACTCCCCTCTCCTTGAAGATTTTTGTGTGTTCCCATGAATTTCGATTTACAGCCTGCCTAACTCCTCTGTCTTTGTTCTGTTCTTGCTCCCCTAAATGTTTATGGCAGTAGTTTTGGTGCCTTAGGTTGCTGATTCCATTTTTCAACTGTGTAATTTGCCCTTTATATATCTGCCCTCTATGTGTTTGTTTAAATGTACCCATGAAAATAGGTAATTTTTTGCATTTTCATTGTTAATATTTAAAAACTTAGTGCCAATTTCGATAATGTTGTTTACTAAGCATAGCACCTACAATCCTGATTTGCACCATATAATTTTTATTTGTTTCAAACCCATTCAAAGCATATATAAAATGTCAAGCTGGTGTTTTAGGTTTACTTTCTGTTGCCCATGGGTCCTTGTAATTTGGTTGGATTGTTGGGCTTCTAATAATGTATACGCCTTCTTTTAATGCTTTTCAATGGTGGATTTTGTGCGTAATCTCAGGCATCAATGACATTTGAAAGATTGTTGTCAGTTTCAATACTCTTCTTTTAAGCGTAACACCTACAATCCTGGAATACGGCTTATAATTTTGTATTTGTTAAACTCTTATTCAAAGCATATATAAAAAATGTAATGATGGTGTTTTATGTTTCATATCTCTTTGCCATTAGGCCATGTAGTTTAGTTGGGTAATTGTGCTTATAATAATGTATACGCAGTTTTAATGCTTTTAAATTAAAGATTTTAGTTTGTAATATCATTTTTCTATGATATATGCCGCCCTGCCCGGAAAAAAAAATATGTGCACTTTCATTAGCCAATACACATGCCAGTTCACCTACATAATCACATTGGTAGACTCAGCCTCTTAGTTTTAAGGCTCTATATGTTTCTTTGAAAGGTTGTTAACTACATGAGTGAGGCACAATGGTCGTTTATATGTGGTGATTAAAATCTAAGAAGATTCTAAGCTATTGATTTTGACTTTCTGTTATGGACCGTGGGATACCCATTCACTTTTTGAGTTCTCCAGTTTATGTAAAATTGTTACTCCATCCATCCCTATTTAGTTTTTTGCTGAATGTATGTTTAGCTTTCTATTCCATATGCATTCATTATTACGGCTAATCCCTTACCATTTCAATCGCTATCACTTAAAATTGGCTGTTTAGCCACGACTTTTTCATACTACACTGACTCAAAGAAGTTCCGATGGTTGTGAACAGATCAGGATTATCAAGTATGGATTAATTGACATGCAATACATGAACTCCTTTGTCTTTTGAGGTGTCTAACCGCTTTGTTAATGTACTCTTTTAAACATGTGCCCTAAGTATAACGTTTTGGCATGGGTAAAACTTAAAATAGTAGTTTTTTGCTATGTTTGTTTTATTAGATGAAATCATACTCAGATCCATCGAGCTGATATACCTACACGTGATGACGTCGCTCAATCAAATATCGAATTAACAAAATAAGTAAATTTGGATGCTTTAAACTAATGATCTTCAAAGGAAAAAATTAGATTTTTTTGTCTCAAATACTTTTGATATTTGTCTTCTTTTTGTTCAATACTAAATGAACTTCAATGAAGCTTATCATATTGTTATGGTTATTATAATCATCTTGATTGTTGTATTTCCCCACATATAATGTGGGCTACAAATATTTCATTCATTAAGTTTCTTTATCAATTTCTAACAAACATTGTACTGTGTATACAAATATATAATGTACTCATAATACTCACATATTCATTCAACCTAAACTCATCAATTAATACACATGCCAGTTCACCTACATAATCACATTGGTAGACTCAGCCTCTTAGTTTTAAGGCTCTATATGTTTCTTTGAAAGGTTGTTAACTACATGAGTGAGGCACAATGGTCGTTTATATGTGGTGATTAAAATCTAAGAAGATTCTAAGCTATTGATTTTGACTTTCTGTTATGGTCGTATGTACTTTTTAATTTTTTTTCCCTACTTGACAGATTGTTTGCAGTTTGAGAACAGCGTGTTTAATCTGAGGGTAAGATAATTTCCCACCGTCCATTGTATTTGGGGTGCAAGAGGTATCTATATTTGCAATTGTTTCAGAATTTATTTTTAAATTCTACTTTTAGCTGTGGAGTCTACTTTTAAAGAAATTTCTAACACTACTGCAGTTTTCTTATAGGTGGTAAGGTCAGCAGTATGAATTATAAAACTTTATTTGAAGATATATTAGCAAGAAGAAAATAAGTAATGTCGTCCCCTACCACGAAACAGATATGATGTTGGTTTTAAATGAGAATATGATATGATAATATTAAAACTTAAAGAGTTAAAAAAAAGAAGAAATACAAACTGCATGATCAGTTTGTTCTAAGTTTATTAACTTAAGATCTTTTTGATAATGTTATTTGTAAAGGTGTATCTAATTTTATTCGCTTGTGAATTTGATTGCTTGTATGACCTGATTTTTCTACCTATATTTGGTGGTGACCTTGTTAGCTTGAGTTTTAAATGATTTTGCTGAATTAAATTAACCCAGTTTCGATATGTTTGTATTTGAATGATAACATTTAATGTGTATTTCTGTTTTTTTTTAAATAGAGAATCTGTGAATTGTAACTGACTGAGTTGTGTCTACTATATGTTGTTTTGTTGCTGATTCATTTGTTGGACGCTAACTTGTCATATTTGGTGAATGGTTTGTTGAATGTTGTTTTGTTGATTGTGGTAATACGCTTCCCTGGATTTTCCTATGATGCCTCCCACTTAACATACACTTCCACCAAATCATCACCACCAACACAGTCTTCATTTGATGGTAAGGTCAACAGTATGAATTATAACACTTTATTTGAAGATATAATAGCAAGAAGAAAATAAGTAATGTTGTCCCCTACCTCGAAACAGATATGTTGTTGGTTTTAAATGAGAATAGGATATGAAAATATTAAAACTTAAAGAGTTAAAAAAAAAAGAGAAGAAATAAAAACTGCATATTCAGTTTTTTCTAAGTTTATTAACTTAAGATCGTTTTGATAATGTTATTTGTAAAGGTGTATCTAATTTTTTCCGCTTGTGAATTTGATTGCTTGTATGAGCTGATTTTTCTGCCTATATTTGGTGCTCACCTTGTTAGCTTGAGTTTTAAATGATTTTGCTGAATTAAATTAACCCAGTTTTGATATGTTTGTATTTGAATGATAACATGTAATGTGTATTTGTGATTTTTTTTGAAATAGAAAATCTGTGAATTGTAATTGACTGAGTTGTGTGTCAGTGCTCATAATTGTAAGAGATATTATTAAAGGTTGATTTGGTTGAATCCTCAATAGGGTTTTCTTTTGGTAATCTTTATCATGTTTGGTTGACGGGTATGCTGATGTCCAGTTGGTTTATTGTGGCCAATTATTCATTACTGTTTCTCTTTTTAGGTGTTCAGTTTAGTAGTTCAATACTAAGTTGAGAAGAAAATGGATAGGTGAGTTGATTACAGTTAGGATGAATAAACTGAAGTAGCCAAGTTTCACTGACTTTGACTTTTTCACACACATCATGTATCTAGGTTGAGAAAAGTTCACATGTATGAACGTCTGAAGGTAATATGAACTTAAGTCAATGAACGGTTTTGTTACAAGATTACATGTGTCTACTATATGTTGTTTTGTTCGTAATTCATGTGTTGGACGTTAACTTGTCATATTTGGTGAATGGTTTGTTGACTATTGTTTTGTTTAGGCCATAACTAATGTAAATACTGTTGGTTATGGGAATTTAAATGCTGTCATTTGTTTGTATGTATTATGGTTGGGTTTGTTGACACTTTTTACCATTTGGGTGAGAAAACCCCTACTTATACAGTTATACCAGTCATGTGGAATAGCCTGGACGGCCGAAACACACTGACACAATAGAGGAAAACCGCAGAATAAAAGTCATGTGAAACTTGTGTCTCTGTGGTTACGAGCCCCTCTCTGCACCCTTCACCACCAGCTCTTCATTGGCAATGTTTTCAATTCATAAAATGAAGATTTCTGTCCCCATCTTGCTAGCCTTGTTGGCTTGTTGCATGGCCAATACATATACAATATGTGCATATTGTTCCCATGGGATTTATATTGTGTGCGATTAGGGATGAACCCGATCTGGTTCCGTTCTTAATCTGCTGAAAAAATTAAATCGAGCCTTTCATCCAATTCAGAAACTTCAGTGGAGCTTGGTTTACTTAAGAGTTAATATGACCATTCTATGTATTGTTAGGGGGTATTTTACACATATCCCCTTTTCCAAAGCCAGATTATAGGCACACCGATTTGAACGGTTTGTATCATATTTCAAGGAATCTGTTAAAACTTAAAGAGTTAAAAGAAAGGAGAAATAAAAACTGCATGTTCAGTTTGTTCTAAGTTTATTAACTTAAGATGGTTTTGATAATGTTATTTGTAAAGGTGTATCTAATTTTATTCGCTTGTGCATTTGATTGCTTGTATGACATGATTTTTCTGCCTATACTTGGTGCTCACCTTGTTAGCTTGAGTTTTAAATGATTTTGCTAAATTAAATTAACCCAGTATCGATATGTTTGTACTTGAATAAGAAACATGTAATGTGTATTTCTGATTTTTTTGAAAACAAGTACTAATCTGTACTTCCCGACCTTATCTGATTGCTATAAAAGTTTGAAAGGTATGTTTTTGAAGTGATGAGATGGAAAGGAAGAACTGCTTTATGTAGGAAATGCTTATTCACCCTAATTGAATCATAAAATTTTCGATCAAACCCCAACTATTAGTGAAAGCTCCATCCTTCAATCAGTCATCTTACTCATCTTCTATGTACTTTGTAAAATCATTTTAGGCTTGAGAGATCGTTTGCAGTTTGAGCTGAACGGGTTTCATCTGGAGGTAAGATAATTTTCAACATTCCATTGTATTTATCTGTAGCTTGTCTGCTATTTTAGTTAAGATTTTAAGAAATCTTTCCCTCAAAAATTGGTTAATAGCATTATTAGTTGTTTATCTTCTTTGCTTAATCATATGGGAAGCAATAATTCTTTTTAATGTATATAATGATGTACATGAATGTGGTTCATTTAACTTGTGCAAGGCCACCTACATCAAAAGAATGTTTGATAATTTTCTTTTTGAACAGAAATTTTCTAAGAAAATGTAAAGCCACTCCTAACTTTAGAACGAGCCTATCTTATTTTTAGGGATCACAAAACACTGCTTTTAATAGATTTTTTTGTAGGGATAAAGTCCTATTACAGTCAACTTTAAAACTACATTTCAAGCAATCAATACTAAAAGACTATTTTTGCACTTTTCATCAGTTTGATTTGACTCAACAATTTAGAGTACATGGTTGACGTTTGGGTTAAAATCAGTGAAAAAAGGGTGAGATTGTTTCAGAAACTGAGAGTTAGTCTTTTAGGAATAATGAAACTAGGTTTAAATTTGTTTAAGGTATAAGAGAATGTCCTTTAATTGAAAGGATAAAGAAAGCGAGCAAGCGCATCACAATTCCCCAAATGGTCTGGATAGTGTATTTACATTGATACAAACGAGTCAGGTTTATATATAATATATAATTTGTTTTATCTCATTTCTGTGAAGTGTAAATTTGCAACCATATTACTTAAATAGAGATTCGTAGTTTACAAATCCTTACTGCTTATTTTAAAAAAATCATCTACCCAAAAAATGGAAGGAACTTGCCACATACCACCTTCCTCTAATTCATTCTCTTTGCTTATGATATAAAAGTTTTAATATATAACACTTTTGCATTTAAATAGTTATAGTGCATGCACAAAATGAATACCACGCCTTCTAACACTCCTGAGAGTAGCCGACTTCAGAAGAATCAAAGACGTAGGGAGAGATATGCTTCAAACGAAAGTCGTCGAGCAGAGATGAACTTGAAGAGGAGAAATGCGTATGCATCAATGGACCCTGAGAAGAAAAGAAAGATGTTAGACGATCTAAATCAACGTCGTAGAAACAAATTTAATGCATCTATCCCGTTACGAACGGAAAACGCTCGTTCGGGTATGATTTGACATTATTTAATTTGTCCATTTCGTTTGAATTGTGTCGTGCAAAAGCACAACTGACTTGATCTTTTCCTACTATTTTTGGATCCATCAATGTCATGCTGCTCCAAATTCACACACACGTTCAAACAATCGTATGATGGCATACCATGGAATGAATATTGCTCCAATAGATTCCAATCGTCCAACGTCTTCCCTTGGTATGCAACCAATGTCATACGGTTCTTCGCTTCAAGATTCTATCGAGACGGAAGCACCAAATACTGTTCCTCCATTGCATACAATTCATGAAGAAATATCACCACATACTCGACAATTCGGAGATTGCTCCACACAAAATATTATTCACCTGCGGCTTCCAGAACAGAGTTTTATTCTTAAAGATTGTCTGCCATGTCAATACTGCGAAGCTATTCGATTTCAATATGAGCCCCCTGGTTTTTGTTGCTCTACTGGACAAGTAGTGTTGGTGTCGAATGAAATGACAGCCCTTCTAAAACGGTACTTTTGTGAAAAAGATGAAGCGGCTCGCCATTTTCAAACATGTGTTCGAACATATAACAACACATTTGCATTTACACGTTCAAGGTGCAAGGTCAGATGTACCATTTTATCAATGATTTGATACCGACCGACAAACCCCCAAAAAATCTCCAACTTTATTTCTTCGATACTGAGCATGAAATCGAAAACAGGATCAACGAAGCTGAGCGCATGGATGCATGTGTTGTAAATGACATTATTAGTGTCCTAGAAAGCAATCCGTACTCACAATTTTTTAGAACTCTTCAAGATGTATCAAGTCTTGAAGATTATAATATTGTGATACGGTCAAATACACATGTTGACCAACGCGTGTTCAATAAACCAACCGCCTCTCAAGTAGTTGCAATTTGGATAGACGAAGGAGATTGTGGCTCACAAAACAGCCGTGATATAAGAGTGTACGCAAAAAGTGGTAGATCACACTCTGTACAATACTATTATGGCTGTTATGATCCATTACAATACCCTCTGTTGTTCCCAAAAGGTGAAAGTGGTTGGCATGAAGGAATACAAAAATTCCCTGAAAAAACACACCCAAGCTCTCGCACATGTCCACAATCTCTACACCCTAATCAATTTTCCTCCATTGACGCTTTGTTTGAAAGTGAGAATTTCAATTCTGCTACAACAAATAAAAGAAACACCGTCTCCTGTAGAGAATACTACGCTTACCATTTTCAAATTCGACCAAACAATGACTCTGCAATTCTCCATTCTGGTAGACTTTTTCAACAATTCATTGTGGACATGTATATTAAGATTGAGACACAAAGGCTGGACTATTTCCGAATACAACAACGTGATATTCGAACCGAAAGCATGCAAGGGTTAATGGATAGTATCGCCATGGGAGAAACAAGTGCTTCAAATGTTGGGCAGAGAGTAATTCTACCACCTTCTTTTATTGGGGGGCCCAGAGACATGCGTAGGAGGTACATGGATGCAATGGCTTTGGTCCAACATTACGGGAAGCCAGACATTTTCCTAACAATGACATGTAATCTGAATTGGCCGGAAATTAAAAACCTTTTGCAGCATAATGATGAGGCTCAAAATAGACCAGATTTGATTGCAAGGGTGTTTCGAGCGAAGATAGAAGAACTAAAGGTTGACCTCATAAAGAAAAAGTTGTTAGGTGCAATAATTGCATATACCTATGTGATTGAATTTCAAAAAAGAGGCCTCCCACATGCTCATTTCTTATTGATACTAGGGAGAAACCATAAGTACCGTACAAGCGTTGAAATTGATACACTTATCAGTGCTGAAATACCAGATCCAGTGGAAACACCAGCATTGCATGCTTTAGTAGCAAAACATATGATGCACGGTCCTTGTGGTTCCATTAACCCTGACAATCCTTGCATGACCAAGAAAATGGGTGTCTCAGTTTGCAAGAATAAATATCCTAGAGATTATTCTGAGACGACAATATTGGGTGATAACTCATATCCCATTTATAAGCGTCGGCGAAACTCAAGATGTCTTACAGTACGGGGAAAACGTTTGGATAACAGATGGGTCGTCCCTTATAACCCTTATATATTGTCAAAGTATGACTGTCATATTAATGTTGAGATATGTGCCGGTATCAAATGTGTCAAGTACATTTACAAATACATTTACAAAGGCCATGATCGAGTTGCAATCAATTTATGCCCTGGGGAAGAGAATGATGCAATTAATGAAATTGAAGACTTCCAAAAAGCTCGGTGGGTGTCCCCTCCTGAAGCTGCTTGGAGAATATATGCTTTCTCCCTTTCAGAAATCAAACCATCTGTTGTACATTTGCCTATTCATTTGGAGAACTACCAATATATGAGGTTTGATAACAAGAAAAAGTTGTCTGACCTTGTGGAAAATGAATTGAGCCAAAGAACAATGTTGACTCAGTTCTTTTCAATGAACACAACAGATGAAACAGCTAAGAGGCTAAATTTGTTGTATGTCCATTTTCCAGAGTACTTTGTTTGGGTCGAGAAAGACAAGAAATGGGCTCCACGTAAGAAAAGGGAAGTGATTGGGAGGCTTGTGAGTGTGAACCCCGCAGAAGGTGATAGGTACTATTTGCGGTTGCTATTGATGAATGTAAAAGCACCGAAGTCATACGAACACCTTAAAACGGTAGGTTCAGATGTCACTGCAACTTTTAGAGAAGCTGCACAAAAGTTGGGGTTATTACAAAGCGATCAAGTCATACAACAATGTCTGGAAGAAGCAATGTGTTGGCAAATGCCTTTCAGCTTTCGTAAACTATTTGCAACACTTCTCGCATTTTGTGATATTGCTCAGCCACGTGAATTGTGGCTGCAATATAAAGAACACCTATGTGAGGATCTACTACGGTTTTCAACAAATAACCTCGACGCAGAATACACTTGCCTCCTCCAAATGAACGATGCACTTGCAACCATTGGAAGGAATATCAATGATTTTTCATTGGTCCCTTTTCATATTGGTATTACAAAAGATCAAAGAGTTCAAAAGGAGATAGAAGCAGAACGGAGTTTGCTGCCTAATGAAGTTGACATATTAGCTATTCAATCGTTGAATACACCTCAACAAGCAGCATTCGACACAATCATAAGTCGTGTTCACTCTGGTAATGGGGGAGTATTCTTCGTAGATGGGCCGGGCGGTACCGGAAAAACTTTTTTGTATCGATGTCTCTTAGCAAAAGTACGATCAAAACGTGAAATTGCACTTGCAACAGCAACCTCTGGTGTTGCAGCTTCACTCTTGCCCGGTGGCCGAACAGCCCATTCTAGGTTCAAAATACCGATAAACACAGATGATAGGTTTGTGTGCAATATCGGAAAGCAAAGTGCTGAAGCAACATTAATAAGAGACTGCAAGTTGATTTTGTGGGATGAGGCAACAATGGCCAATCGGAAAACGATCGAAAACGTTGACACCACACTGCGAGACATCACAAATTGTGATAGCATATTTGGCAATAAAGTGGTAGTGTTTGGAGGTGATTTTCGACAAACCTTGCCCGTAATTAGGGCTGGGAGAAGAAGAGATTTAATTGCAGCTAGCTTAGTCAGATCAGAAACTATTTGGCCATCAGTTGAAAGATTAGTGTTGACCCAAAATATGCGAGCTAAAGAAGATCCATCTTTTTCAGAATACTTGATGCGAGTGGGTAATGGAACCGAAAAAACTGTTGACGGAGATTGTATTGAAATTCCAGAATCATTTCTTATTCCATACACAACAGAAACTGAATCTTTGAACAGGTTGCTTAACATGGTGTTCCCAAACCTAAACGAATTCATCAATGACCCATACCCGCTGATGAAACGAGCAATACTGACGACCAAAAATGAATTCGTCGATAACCTAAATAGCACCTTGATCTCCGCCATGCCCGGTGAAGAGAAATGCTACATTAGTTATGATGAGTTGCTCGATCGATCTTCACATCATGAGTATGCAGACTTCCTACACACAATCACATTGTCTGGATTACCTCCCCACAAATTGGTTTTGAAAAAAAAATGCCCATTGATCCTACTACGGAACCTAAATACAGCCGAAGGATTGTGTAACGGGACCCGCTTAATATGTGATGACTTTCGAGATCATGTTATTAGTTGTTTCATAGCATCGGGAGAACACAAGGGCAAACATGTTTTCATACCAAAAATACCCCTTGAACTTTCAAAGGATGACAATTGTCCGTTTCCATTCAAGCGACATCAATTCCCCATCAAAGTCTGCTTTGCTATGACAATAAATAAGGCACAAGGGCAAACATTTGATTTTGTTGGGCTATACCTAAAAGAACCAGTCTTCTCGCACGGTCAACTATATGTCGCAATGTCAAGGGTAAAAAAAGCAGATTGTTTAAAAGTGTTAATTTGCAATAGCTCTTTAGACACACACCATACAAATATCACTCAAAACATTGTGTATCAAGAGATATTGAATGAAGCATGCAAAGCTCCTACAACCAAATAGGTTAGTCCTACACATTATGTGATTTTACCACAATTGTTTTGCCGTTAAATAATTCTCACAATGTATACAGGTTGTTATGGCAAAAGCACTTGACTTAGTGGACATCACCCCACAAATGAGAGGATGGAGTTGTCAAGTACGTATTGTGAAAAAATTCGATGAAAAGTTGTCAACCAACACACCTGGAAAACGTTTCATGCAAATCCTGCTCGAAGACAAACAAGTAATCATCATTTTTCCACTACAACAGGTACCATCTCATACTATTGAAGAGAACTGAACTTTTCATTTGTTTAGTAATATAATCTTATAATGCTTTCATTAAAACATTGAATTGTTCTCCTTTTTTACTTCAGCGCCAAATATGCCCAATAGTTCACCTATATTAATACTACCTCCATCCTCAATAAAAGCTCCTCATTAAACATGGTTATTTACTACATGAATCCATATACATGTTGGTTTATCAAAATTTATCACTTTTAGTTTTTTAAAGATAGTGAGCAATATTAGCCATATTTTTAGATTAACTAAATATAATGCTTCATTTGTGTGGAACTGTTTCGCTAAAAAATTACATGCAAGCTTACTCTTATTTGTTCAACAATTGTTCTTTTTCTGCGCACAAAAGTCTTTTGGGCATGATACTTTCTTCTGATGGAAGATGTTATTTTTTACTTTCATTTTCTAGCTGCATTTTTTCAGCTATTAGCTCAACATGTCAAACATGGCTTAAAGAATTAGTGACATGACCAATTATATTGTATTTTGTTGTAATTAGGGTAGCATTAGTTCCTGCAGTGTGACAAATTAAATGGACTGTGGTTCCCTTAACTTCAACTCATATTAATAGTATAAAATCTTTAAGATTTGGATAAAAACAGCAGCCACTTCATATTAGTAATCTTAAATTTTACATCATCCAGTCAACTTCAACTTTTAAGCCAAATACATAGTTCGCAGCATCCGGTTTTAACATAATCTTTAATATTACAGATTTTACGCCATTACATCATGTTACTTTAAGTTCGAAACTTCCACAGTTTATGGTCATACATATGTAACTGTTTTGGTTGTGTAAATATCATCTTCTATTCTCTTTATTGCTTCATTTATGTCATTTTGATCGATCGGTAAATCTATAAAAATCTACACAATAAGAAAGTCAACAAATGGCAATTTTCAGGTGTTCATTCTGCAAGAATGGATATCAGACATTTAAATATGTCTCCTATATTTGCTAACCAAGACTTATTATCATTTACGCAGTTCGTACTTTCAAATTATATGTGGAAACAGTTAATTATGTTTTTAAAAAAACGTCTTTATCTCTCTTATAATGACACCAATGACCATTCTAAACACCTTTATTAATGATTAAAAAGGGAATCCGAGTTCAAGCGGTGGTTTTTGACAACGACATCCCAAGATACAACTCCACACTCCATCTTGACTCCTGCTACACCATTTCCAATGCGAATGTCAAACCTCAACGCCCTAATTACAGTGTTCCAGATGAGAGGTACAAGTACACATGGATATTAAGTGGTCGTACAGTCGTCCAACCGCTACGTGATTCATCTGCTTTCATCAATGCAAGTAACAAAGTATACAACACTTTCTATGATGTTTACCACTACATGAAATCTGGAATTGAAATCTGTGAGTTAACTCTCTAAAAATCTAAATTCAATTTGTTTATGACTACGCAAAAAATCATCCTCATGTGTACTCATTTTTTAAAATTTTATTTTCCATACAGCACTTATGGGCATCGTGATAGACAAACTCCCAAAGGAAGTCATTCCCACCAGTAAGGGTGATAAACATATCAAGGAGATTGTGTTGGTCGATGAAAAGTATGTTTGCCATAACACTTACATTTATTTATCACATAGCCACCCATTAATTCATATGTATAAATCAATAACAAATGCATATCATTGCAGGCTGAAACCAATAGCACTTACTCTTTGGGGAGATTTTGCTGATACTGAGGGAAGCGAAATTGTCAACTTGTTGAATGTGAACGAATACCCCCTCATATCTATTGAAAATATAGGTGTCACACCCTTCAAAGGTAAATAGCTTTAATAATCACTACCAATTATTTTCGCAAAATGTTCTTTTCCAACACATATTTTATCAATACACAAAACTAATGCTTTTACGAATATATATAAAGTTAACACTTTTAAGCATACGCAAAGTGTAATGTTTTCAATCATGGGCTGCTTCCCGTTTTAAGTTCTTGCCATTTCATTTTTATGGATAAATTAAAATTTAGTAAATTGAAATGTAATACTTTTATCTGAACATGATGAGGCGTTTTATGATTGCTCACTGGTCTCTAATCTTATAAGACCTCCCTTGGCAGAATATGGAGATTCTAATACCACATGAAAATGATCGATATAAAATAATTATTATGAAGTTTCAAATCATTTATATAGCATTTGTATCAATTAGTAATATATTTGAATTTAAAGTTAAACAGTGTGTAGAACAACATAGCTAAAATGATCATGGGGTGGTGGTGCATATTTCAAATCTTACGACTTTTCTATTTCGAATGATGGTACATATGTATATCTATCTCCATGCCACTTTGTCAACACATTATAGTTAAAGTATTTTCTATTTCAAATTATGCCATACCATATGCATCTATTTCCTCCATATAATACTATCCTTGTATAATATACCTACATACGTAATTGTATAAAATTATTGTTGTTCTAAATTCTCATTATCACATAGTCTTCTATATTTTCACTATATATACGGGTTTTGAAGGTATTTCATTGTGCACAAAACCCCATTCTACGGTAACAATCAATCCTATATCTTCAAGAGCTCAACAATTGCAAAAGTGGTACGTCACTTCATCACATATAATAAATATACATAATCTCGTACCAATTCCTTGCGTACGCTCTCGCATTAACATTTATTTCACCTTGCTTTATGCAGGGCAGTTGAAAATCGTCCTACTCTTGATGCACTTAAGATATGCCGTGAATACAATAATGCTGCAATTAACCTTGCAATTCCAGTCGTTGCTGAAATTTCTAAAATATCTGAAGTACCTCCATCAATTGATCCGGTATGTTCGGCAATACTTAAACAAAATAACTAATAATAATAATAAATAAATCCATCATAACAATGATTGATTGACAATGTTGCAGACGAAACCCGTTTGGATTCACGGCAAAATCAATCTGCAGCTTGAAGGTGATAGTCTTTGGTACATGGCTTGTAGCAACTGTTTGAAAACAGTTTATGCAGATTCTGATACAAGGTTTTTTTGCATGCATTGTGGTACGGAGGATGCAATTGCTACTCCAAGGTCAGCTATCAAAAATACCGATTCAATATATGATCAACCTTTTCTGAGTTCAAAAGTTAAACAAAATTCTATTGACAATTCTTGGATTTTTTTTTTAATGAAATTATTAGATCCAGAGCGAATGTCTCAATCACTGATACTACTTCAACAATTGAAGCCTCGGTTTTTGGGCAATGCGTGGAAAAACTTCTGCTCATGACTAGCAAACAAATTATGGAAGTGGAGCTGCAGGTTGACCAATTACCAAGCTACACTAATTTAATACTTTAAATTTAAAATACATAAAATATTATAATTTGACACTTCACAATATGTTGACCCCTTTTTATAAATTATGAAGGGTAAGAAGGCATCATTTCAATATGCAAACAAGCGCTTGGATAAGGAAGAGTATATTGTACAACTGAGGTCGCAATCAAGTACTTATCAAACCAACCCAGGACCCTCCTACACCATAACATCTTTGCATGATGCATCTCATTACATTGTCACAACCAACATTGATCCATCAACCCCTCCTTCATCAAAGATGAAGCTCCCACACTCGGGAGTAGAAGATTCGCCTGTTGATTTGAAGCGGCAGAGAAAAACTGGATTACTTATCACCATTACCCACTACTTCGTTTACTCCAACTATTTTCCTAGAACTATTGTTTTAATTTTCTTTCAAACGCTGTAGCCCAATACATATTTGACTACGTCTTTGATTAAAACATTTTTGTGTTTATTATGTTTGTTTTGATATAAAACACAAATACATACTACTGTTTCATGTGAATCTCACTACTATTCTGTTTATTATAATCATGTTGTCTATTTTATTTTCTCACATATATTCTATCCTAGAAATGCTTTGTTGTTTATGATTCTTTATTCATAAATAACAAATTATATATTCAATCATTTTACTCATATTAGTCATATTTTCATTAAACTTTAACTAAGATATTGTGTGTCCCTACATTGACATTGGGCATTACTACGAACGCGCAACACGCGTTATTAAACTAGTACATAGTATAAGAGCTGATATTTGATGTACAAGAAACTCATGCAAATTATGCGGGTATATAACACACAAAAATCAGTATCAAATGCACACTACATATATAAAGCACCAAAATAAGTATGCTAAGCATAAAAATCAGTATCTGGCGCACACCAATAGGAAGTGATTAACATCTAACGCATAAAGACTTCATACAATTTAAACTAGGATGAATTCCCCAAACAGGAGTAAAACATAGGCAAAATGCAAAAATAGGAGTATCATGTTTTGAATAGGAGTAACTTTAGTGTTTGGACAAATATACCCCTGCCCAAGCCCCAAGCCTCAACCACTTTCATTAATAATTAAACATAAAAGAAATACATTAATAAATCTAATAAAATTGTAAAAAAAATAAAAACACGAAAATATATAATAAATAAAATATATTCTGCATTAAATAAAATAGATAAAAACAAAAAATTATTAAATAAAAGACTAAAAAAATTAAAATAAAAAAATAAAAATGAAAAAAATATAAAAAAATGTACATGCCTCTACCGCAACCTCAACAACCTCCAAGCACCACCAGCTCCGACTACCTGAAAAAAATGCCAACATTTATTAAAGATTTCATCATGATGGCAGTTTTTGAGAAAATTTGGCATTTTCAAAGAGTAAAAAAGTTATCTTTATGGCACTTTCAAAGAAAAATGGTGGTTTTTACATAAAATGACTTTTTTTGCCGATTGGAGGTTGCATTTCTAGGTGGTGGCCGAGGCTGCGGGAAAGACCTCCATAATTGTTTTATATTTCTAAATGTATTTTATCTATTTTTTATTTATTTTTAAAGTTTTTTTAAAATTTTTATTATTTAAAATTTTTAATTTTTTTTTTGAATTTTTTTATATTTTAATAGGATCAAATAAGTCCTATTTTAGAATAAATTAGGTTAGGGGTATAAAGGTAGAAAATTAATGTTTACTCCTATTTGAAGGAAGTTTTAAGTTTAACTCCTATTTGTGCAATTATGTTTATGTTTACTCCTGTATTGGGCAAATTCTCTTTATACTAGTATATAATACACAAAAATCTGTATCTAATGCATAATATGTATATATGCTCAAGAATCAGTACTTATCATATTATATGTATACAAAAAATCACATCAGGTATCTACTGCACAAGAATCGATATCTAACACACAACCACTAACGTTTAATGCACAACCAACATCTTACTATTAGTCAGGATAAATACACAATAATTGGTATTTGGTGGATAAGAAGCGTGTGGAAAAAATAACAACTTATTCATTGAGTTAATAACATTAATTTGATGCACAGGGTCGTCTAGAGCAATTATGAGGCCCTAGACGGTTATTGCGGGGAATAACTTAGAGAGAAGTCAGAGCAAGTAAGTAAATGTAGAGAGAGAGTGTATTCGGTATGAATGCCGTTTTCAGCGTGGTTACAAATGAGGAAATGGGGTGCTATTTATAGTAGCAATAAATGCCGGACAGGGACACGTGTCAAGCGCTCATTGGCCGAGGGGTCACCTCAACTGGCTGGCGCTGGCAGCCGCATGTGGCCGCATTTAATGCGGCTGTTGGATGGGACGTCTGTGCAGGGTACGGCGATCTGTACGCATGTGAGGCGGATATCTTGTCGAGTGAGATGCCTTCGGCTATAGAGCAGTAGTCGAGGGCTCCTCCAACCGATGGCACCCTGGTGCCGAGGGCTCACAGTGCCGAGGGCTACTGTCTTCGCCGTTTTCTCCCAGTTTCTTAATTTGCTTGAGAAACCCGTTCTGTGAGAGTTTAGAGCCTTCGGCCAGGGGGCCGAAGGCACTCCTGGCGCGTAGTGCGGGCTGCTTGGTACTCTGGGCGCTGTGATTTGGGCCTGTTGGGCCTCCTGGGCCTGTTGGGCCTTTATTGGTGTAGTAGGAGTCTGTGGGCCGGGGTTCCCGGGCCATATACTCCATCAGGAGTCCCTCACTGCTTTTGCCGAAAGGTACTTGAGGGAAAAGGAGTAATTTGTGCTTGCCCTTTGATGTTGTCCCGTCGTGATCTCTGAAGTTGGTGAGGAGTTGTTGCTTTTATGTCCCTGCCGAAGGCAGTCCCTCAGTTACCCACATGTCGGGACTTGAGGGCTTGCCTTGTCGTTTGTTGGAATTTCACTAATTTTGTAATTAAATGATTTTCCCGAGGGGGTCCTCCAGTCCCCCACTCCTTGAGGCACTTGTGAAGTGTTGAAAAGGAGTAGAGTAGTTGCGTTGCTGTTGTGGGCCGAAGGCTGACGTTTTTCGTTTCATTTTGGGGGGATGCCTCATTAAAAACCTCATTAGGAAAAACCCTGTGGGAAAAAATCCTAATGAGGGAAAAAGAGTGCACCGAATTCCCCCAATGATGAATCGAAAATGTCAAACCTTGGTGAAAAATGGAGAATAACGGAAATGCCGAAGGCTCTCTCTTCTGAGGGCTCCTGTGTTGATTAGCCGAAGGCTTGCTGTTGATGTCCTGGTGGCGCTGAAGGGGAGCCCGTCAATCCGGGGATCGAGGGCCTGATGGATGAGGGCAGTAGTGGAGTTGTTACCGGGGGTCCACTGTTGTTTGATTAGTTGGTGACGAAGATACCCGAGGGCTCCCATTACCTGTGTGCCATGGGTCATCCGTCAATGAGGCAACTCCCCGGGGGCTACCCGGTTTTGCAGTGCTGAGGGGGAATCCCCGAGGGGTGCCCTGATATGAAGCCCTAGGTTTCTGAAGGAGTGATCCCGAAGGCGTCTGTTATGTGCTGTGTGGGGCACAACCCGGGGGCACTTCTGGGTGAGTGTACCCGGAGGCTATTCTTGATGAAGTGGAGTGAAGTAGAAAACCCGGGGGCTTCCAGAATATAGCCGTTGGAAATATAGCCGTTGGAATATATAACGTCAGGCTTATAGCCGTTGGGGGGGGGGGCACGTGGCATGTAGCCATTGGCTGCTCGCGGGCGGGCGTCATCGGTTGGGTGAAACGACGGTGCGTAATGATGGCTTTGGCGGCTGGGAGCCCGGATCTCGGCCCAAGCCCGGATCTGGGAGCCTATAAATACCCCAAGCCAGGGCCATTCCTCCTTTACGCATCCAACACCCCTAGCGAAGCTCTGCAAAAAATTCTAGAGAGAGAAACTCAAGCCTTCGGTCAAACTCCTTTCAAGGTCAGTGTCCCGCTTTCCCCTCAGCACTTTTTGTAAGTTCCGCCCTCTGGCCTTAGATTAGGGTTAGGGTCCCGTAGAAATCTTTCGAAACCTTAGGTGCTTTTCGTGGCAAAGAATGTCGTCCGAGAGCGATTCCCAAAACATATCGGGGGACCCTTCGGTTGATGAGGAGCATGCTTCAGATGTGGAGTCCGTGAGCGAGCCTTCGGACGGTGTTGATGCCGCCCTGGCCTGGGAGGTCCAGAAGGAACTCATTGCTGAGGTCGAAGCTGAGGGCTTCGAGCAAGAGTGCGAGGATGAAGACTTAGCCCTCGCATGGCAAACAGCGGATGATGAGGCACAGAATGAGAGCTCGAAGGTTACAATCGCTGTTCTCCCCCCCCCCCCCCCCCCCCCCCCCCCCCCCCGGGGTTCTGGGGAGGCCAGTAGCTCGAGGCCGCTAGATCCGATACCTCTGAGGGCGGTTTCCGGGTTGAAGAAGAAGAAGGCCGCTACCAAGAAGAAGGAGAGGGCCGTCGATCAAGGAAAGCCAGTGGACATGCCCGAGGGGTACAGTTGGCTGAACACTGAGGCCCTCGAGATTAGGTCGAAGGCTGATAGGGCAGATCTGTACGTGACTCAGCTGCACGTGGGGCCCTCGGCCGAAGTGGTGGAGCCAGGTCCCGACGACGTGCTGTCCAGGGCACCCGAGGGGTGTATCGCCATCCACGTCCTCTCGGTTTCTATGGGACTTAGGTTCCCTCTGCACCCGTTCCTCCGGGAGTACTTGAGGTTTGTTGGTTTGGTCCCCTGCCAACTTACGCCCAACAGCCACTCCTACATTGCGGGGTTCCTCCAGCTCTGCAAGTCCCGAGGGGTGAAGCCCAGCCTGGATCTATTCTTCCAGAGCTTTAATTTGTGCCGGGGGGGGGGGGGGGGGCACGAAAACGGCGAGGGGTACGCAAACCTGCAGCAGATTGCCCGCTTCAAGCTATTCTCCGATGCTCCTTCTTCCAACAAAGGATGGAGGGAACTTTGGTGCTACGTAAAGTTGGGTGAGAGCCCATTCCCGAGGGAGCTGCGTGATCGATTCCGAAGGCACGAAAAAATCAGGAGTGCTGCTCTCGAGAAAGACGGCCTAAAGCTGGCCAAGTTCCCGGAGGGGAAAAATAAGAACATGGCGATCAAAGACTGCACCCTCGAGGAGGATTTATACACCCTCGGGTTCCGGAGGTAGCGCTTCATAGGGGAGACCGATGAGAAGTACCCTCCCTTCAACAAGGCCTTCGGAGGAGCCGGAGGTAGGAGCCGAGGGCTTTAGAATTTTGTACTTAGTTTTTTTTTTGCTTGGATGTCATTGTCCCTTCGCTTAGACCCGTCGGCCTAACCCTTTGTCATATTTTTTGCAGGTATCCCCGTCTCCATGGTGAACGTGAAGGGTCTCGCTCGCCTGAAGAAACAGGACCCGAAGGGGTCGGGACAGGGCAGCCAGAAGCCCGCCACTGCCCTCTTCAAGAAAGCCGAGGGCGATGCTGCTGCCGGCAAGAGGAAGGCGGCGACCAAGGCCCCCCCCCCCCCCCGGCTACCAAAAAGCCGAAGAAGGGGGATATTGCCTAGAAGGAGCCCCCGGTCATCATTGCTGATGA